CAATTTCTGACCCAAGAAAGTCTGTCTGGATGTATCGGCAGAATTCAATTTAGAGTATAGGGAGGAAAATGGTTTATTCGGTTTGGCAGTTATTAGCAAACTTTCAATGGGGTCAGAGGTTAGCATTACTTGTTCTGGAAATTGTGCCTCTATCACGTGTCTCGACTGTAAAAAACAAAAACATGAAATTGGATAGCTGAAAGGAGTCTTTGAGTGTCTCAAAAGCTTTACAAGAAACCTTGTGGAATTGTGTGTTATAATGTTCTAATTCTGTATCTAGCTTGCACCATAAACTTTAATTGACACTTACATTTGAATTTGAAATGTAGAGATTTTTTTTAATGAAGAATCTACATTTTTTGTAGATCTGATGATAATTGATTCTTGTGTATCTGTTTTGAGCTTTCATTTAATAAATAATTGTGTAATCTTTCACTGCTTTTTCCATTCTTATGTTAATGGCATGTGAAAATTGCATACAGCTCTCATGCAATTTTTTTCAGTTTTCTTCTTTTTATGGTCCCATGTTATCTATCATTTTCTTTGATTTTTAAATATTGTAAGATCAATTAAATTAAATATATTTTACAATATAAAACATTAGGGTGTCTCAAACTGGAATTATTGCACCTATGGAATACAATACAGGCCAACAACCAAGATTTTAAAGTGGTAGTAAACTACAGCAATGAAAAAAAAAAAATTGGGCCCCAGACAGTTTAAGTTATAATGGGCTAGTATGCACCGCATACTAGCCCATTATGACAGACTTACCTGAAAACGAAGCCCCCTAGCGGTCACTGTCACCACAGTAGGTGCTTGCATCTTCACCTGGTCTTCCTTCCGGGTTTGCGTGCTTCGGCAATTTGAATGGCCGAGCCACGATGATGTCACTCCTGGGCATGCTAGTGAGAGTCACTGTTTATGGCACAGGGCTTTGAAGGAACTGCACAGCATGCCGTCCCTTCAGAACAAATGTGTCAGTGACATTAACAGCTGCTTCTTTAGTAAATATCTCCTACACCGTGTGCATTTAAGAGACATTTACTGTACCTATAGGTAAGTCTTATTATAGGCTTACCTATAAATAAAAATCAACCAAGGTAGTTTACTCCCTATTTAATGTATGCACTGGGTAGGCAGTTTGAAGAAATTATTTGTGATGTATTTCTGAGTAATTAAAGTCGATAATTTTACCCCTATGGGAAATTGAAATTTCTTCCCCATTCATCCCCTAATTAATTCTCTTACATACAGTGCATTATGTTATTTCATGCCTGAATGATTTTAATAGTCTATTTATATACGTAACGTTGATTAAGAAATTAAAACAGTTAAAACAGATGAGTGATCATAATTATTTTCTTATGGTATACTGGATTCATGATGCACATTTTTTGTAAAATGCCATGCATCTAAAACAGCAATAAAATATAATTAAGGCACAGCTTTAGTGTCTTTCCACTGTAACATTTTAATTTAGCATAGCCTGATCATCTTTATTATAGTTCCATCTTCCACATGCTAGTGTTGCTTTTGTTTAATAAAATATGAGTCTTAAAGACCAACCTAAATGTACCTTTTGATTTATATTGTGGGCACAGTTTTGCCTAAGAGACACTGTAGTCTGTCCACTGCCCACTAATATTCACTTAATGACAAAACCAATACAAGATATGCATTGGGGTTGATTTACTAAAGGAATAAAGACTGTTTACTTTGCAAAGTATATTTTCACATTGCAAAGTGAATGTTTACGTAGCTTAGTGAATATTATCAAACCCAACCAAACATAATTTTCTTTTTAAATTTGCCTTGTAGATGATCAGGCATTCAAAGTGAACAAAAGTACATAAACTCTGTAGTGTATGAACAAACAGCTGCAGAACAGAAACAAAATCCACTTCAATCAGCAGACCAAATATACATGTAGAATGCCTTTATCTGTGCTCTGTTTGAGTTGACCCATTCTCATTGTAGGGCAATTTAAACTCAGACTACATTGCTCATAATAATAAGCCATATAGATCACTAGGCAACGAGATGTGTGTTATTTATCCATTAGCAATATGCCATTCAGCAATAACTTTAACAAACTGTGGATGTTAAGCATGCTACAAAACCCCAAATATTCATTGAAGTATGCTGGTCATGTGTAGCATGCTTTATCCTCTTCACCACTGCTCCCCCAACCCCAATTGCCAGCAAATCCAGGAGTTGCTATACATACAGCAGCTACTACAGCAGCTGCTGCCAAAAATGGACCTTCTTACACAGTGTTTATAAACACTGTTCATACCAATGTATGAGATAAACAATAACTCTGTTAAATTCATCTGCAGATCAAAGGGATGAACTTCAATCTGTATGTGATGTCAGTTAAAGCAAACTAAGTCCTCATGCACACTTGACGTTTTTACAGCGGCTGTTTTTGGCTTTTGACTTTTTTTCTACAGCTAGTAAACCCCCCAGCATGTTTATCCTATGTACACATAGACTGTAATCAACATTTTTTGGCTGGAGAAAAAACCCAGGACTAGTGGGTTTCTAGAGGATTTTTGTAGCTGTAAAAAACGCTCTAACGCTGAAAAACATTTCAAAATGCGGTAAAACCTAGCGTTTTTAGATATTTTTTTAACCAAAAAAAAATAAGTTTTTTAGTAAAAAAAAGCTAACAACCGCAAATGCGGAAAAACGTGGGAAAACACAGCTAAACGTGCCAAAACGCCACTAAACACTAATGCAAAAAACGCTGAAAAGAGCTGAAAAACTCTCATTTTTAACGTGACTTTGCACAGCTAAAGTTACCAGCGTTATCAAAATGTCCCGTGTGCATGAGGACTAAGACTACTTTCACACTGATCTGTAGCAAAAACATGCTAAAAATACATACGCTTTTTTTTTTTTTTAACACACCAAACCTGCACCAAAAATGCAGCAAGCATGATTTTACTAAATGCAACCGACCCGCAATGGATCAGTGTGAAGAGTTCCATTACATGGTCACATGTTTTTCTTCTGCTTTTTTAATGCAAAAGCAGAAGAAAAATTGATCAGTATGAAAGCAGCCTAACAAATAAAAAAGAAAAAAGAAAAAGTTTTTACCCCTTAAATAAAAATTTGTTATTTAACCATTAGCCGCCCGGCCAATGGCTGTTTGCGGCTTCAAAAGTGTTGCTGCATTCCGGGTGCACGCCATTTGGCGTGCTCCCGCACATGCGTAGTTTGCACTAATGCAGAGCGGCGCAGCAGAGTGATCTGTCACCGGCCGTGTACCTCGGACACGGCCGATGACAGATCCGAGTACCGGCTCCCATTGCTGGTACCATGTGACCTGTTGTGACCAATCACAGCAGGTCACATGACAGTTGTATACAATGGATGGCTTAATTCATGCCATCCATTGTATACTAGTGCCTAGCTGTGAATGGTCACAGCTAATCACATGCACATGTCATGTGATTAGCTGTGACCAAATCAGAGCTAAGCACAAAAAAAAAAAAAAAAGCTGAATGAATCGATTTCATTCAGGTAAATGCTTGCTTATAGCAAAGTAATTCTTTGCTATAAGCAAATTGTGTAAAAAAAAAAAAAATACTGATCAGTTCCCCAAAGTAGTACAATGTTACTATGGTAGCATTGTACTACTTTGGTCATAGTAAAATATGAAAAAAAAATCTTAAAAAAAATAAAAAAAATGTAATAAAAAATTAAAAATAATAAAAAAATAAAAAAAAATAAAAAAAAAATATATATATATTTTTTTTTTCATACTGTCACCAGTCAGTGTCCCTGTTCACCGCCATGCCAGTTATATGATGACGCTGTACTGCACTGGTGACAGTATGTAAAAAAAAAATAGTGAAAATAATTTGTTTAATTTTTTCATTTTCCGAAAAATTATGACAAAAAAAATACAACTTCAAAAAACTCGCCATGTCTCTTATAAAGTACGTCTGACTGTCTACTCTGCAAAAAGGGGTCATTTGGGGATATCTGTACTATTCTGACATTCTTGGACCTCAAGAAATTAGATTGGCCGTCAGTACTTCAGGATTGATCAATATTCAGATCTATACCATAGTTTGTGAACTCTATAACTTTCCTACAAACTAAATAATACATCCTAATTTGGGTTATTTTCACCAAAGACATGTAGCAGAATACATGTCGGCCTAAATTTATGAAGAACAATTATTTATTTGTAAACTTTTATAACAGAAACAAAGAAAAATGTGTTTTTTTTTTCAAAATTTTTGGTCTTTTTTTGTTAATTTAGCAAAAAATAAAAACCCCAGCGGTGATTAAATACCACCAAAAGAAAGCTCTAGTTGTGTGAAGAAAATGATAAAATTTTAGTTTGGGTACAGTGTTGTATGACTGCGCAATTGTCATTCAAAGTGTGAGAGCGCTGAAACCTGAAAAATGGCCTGGGCAGGAAGGTGTAAAATTGCACGGTATTGAAATGGTTAAACCTTCTTAGTTTACCTTAATCTGCCCAAATTAACTCCTTCTTCCCATTCTCCCATTGTTTTTCCCTTTTTTTTGTTTTGTGTTTTTTTTTCTATTCTTCTAAAGATTAGTATTTAACCTTTTTTTTAAAAAATAATTTTGTTGTTGTTTGTTTGTTGCTGTGTGACTTTTAAAACAATTCAAAGATATAGCTCCTTTTATTTACCTGAATCTGTGATCACATGAACCCTCCGGTCCTGGGTCTTCTATCTTCCTCCCCACTGAAAAGGAGGGTCCATCACATTGGTCCATTTTGCTGCCTGGGTGATGTGGATACTTTATCTGTCCAGTGGCAGGGTCCCCTCCAGCCCTAGAGCACTGCCCAGTGTAATGAAGTCAACCATTTGGTGCAGGCACAGGCTGCTTGCTGGATCACTAGTCATCGCTCCTGGAAGCAGCACCTCTTAGAGGCATACATTTATATGAGTAAAAAAAGAGCCTCTGAATGTATTAAAAAACAAAAACAAAAAGAAACTGCTGAATGAGTAGGAGGCAGGGGAGGACTGACTATTTGGAAACTCGGGCCCTGCCCGAGGGCCTGGGGTCAGTAGGGGGCCCCATGAGATGCCCCTGGTACCTTTTTCATAGGCTTTTTGAGTTAAGCAAGGACACAGGGGCCCCATGATCCCTTATTGCCCGGGGGCCCCATGAGTTGTCAGTCCACCCCTGGTAGGGAGGGACACTTCTTGCCAGGACATGGTCTTTAGGAAAGATTTACTGAAGAGGCGTCTATAAATATAGCCTAATCAAACATGTTATGTTTGTGAACATTGTCTTCTGTAAAGCCCTGTCCACACAATGATAATATCGGACTAATGATCTTTTGCATGTGTAACCCTCCTCCTCTGTCCTGGAAGTCTGGGCACTGTGCACCTCCTGCCTACAGATCACACAGCACTTCTTAGCAAATGACAGCACCCAGGACCGCAGCATGTCCCTGGATCACGTGATCATTGTCCCTGGCAATTGTTTTTTGCATGGTATAGGCACACAGATATTTTCACTACTGTATTGATTATTGGTTGGCTTATTTTATATGCATTTATCTGTGTATGGAAACACTATGTAGTGTTTGGGATCTATGTGTATATTTTTTATGCATGGTTTATGAACGTTTTGTATGCACTTTTATGCAGTTTTTTTTTTTATTTGAGTCCAAATTTTGGACATGTCACCTATTAGTCCGCATTTGGACTAAGTTTATATATTCTTTTCTATGTACACCATCACTTCAGATCCTAATTCAGGATTCATGCACATCTGTACCATACGTTTTAGTACTGGTTTGCACAACTCTGCTATTGCCATCCTTGCGGTGGTGCAGTATTCACTGTGTTCACTTCTGGATCCGTTGAGGATCGGGTCACGGTCATATATTTGAAGATCCTTGGAGGATCAGGTCACTTTTACGTTTTCTTGCACATTGTGTCACTTTATTTATGTGCGTTTATATTTATTTACATTATGTATGTATTAGTTATTTTATAATATTTGTATCTTTAGAGTAGCGCTGCATCATTTCCTTTTATCTCATTTCTATAGAATAGCACACACCAACTTCATTTTCCATGGCATTCTTTAACACCAAAAAACCAAGATGTGGGTTTTGTTTTGAGGTTCTGTGATATTATATTGTCGTTCTCAACACTACCTATACCTCCCCATTTCACATCTAATTTGTTTTTATATGGTTGCCCAGTGTATGGATATTCATCTTTTTACCATTATAATGCACTATGATGTCTATAATGTTTTTAACGCTGTTTTTTATATACATTTGTATCATTTATGTAGTCATTGCTGTATATACAGTTTTAACAATTCCCATGATCCCCCTTGCTATAAGTGGCACTAGCCATGGACATATAAAGCAAGACCTGTATTTAGGCTTGCCATAGCTCTGAGGAAAGGGATTCATCCCCGAAATGCATCAGCAGGCCGACCACACCATCAGTCAGACACTCTGCCATCCTTGTGGCCATCTTTATGGCCTCATAGGCTTTACACATATTCTATGTTTGTGAGTACATTTTTTTGTCCTTTTCCACTTTTATTAAACCTTGGATAATGCATTAGGTGTTTGCGCCATCTGTATGCTTTCTTCCACCCTGGTTGAGAAAGGCTGGGTCGAACCACCACTGTGTCACCATCTATATCAATTCACTCTGCTGAAGAGGCCTTTCCCTATTGTGCCAAAAGTCTTGTAGGGCCCCCCCATGAGATGCCCCTGGTACCTTTTTCATAGGCTTTTTTGAGTTTGGGCAAGGACATAGGGGCCCCATGATCCCCTATTGCCCGGGGGCCCCATGAGTTGTCAGTCTGCCCCTGGCCAACAATCACTTTTACCAGATTGGCCACTTGTTGCTTTAGATTTGCTAGTGACTAGTGCCTTAAAAGAACATTACATCTGTAAAATTGCTACTTGCAAGGGGAGTGTTATTCTTCCCTCTGTTTATTACACTGTTTCTCAGAGAGTTACAGGCCAAGCTTACCAACTGGGCCCCATCACACATGCAGAAGACTCTTCATTGCCTTTAAAGAACATTGGTTGCTATGGGGTAAAGAGCTCTTTTCCTTATTTCAGGTTATCTCCTTGCCATCAGGTCCTGAGGGCCCAAAGTGAGCTAGTCTACCTGTTTGATAGTCCTAACTGCTCACTGGGGACTGTAAGACTACCTCAGGTTGAAGGGTTGGGCTTTCAGATTGAGGTCCAGATCCACAGGGAACCTGAAAAGCAATCCAGCAACTCCTAAGGGGGTAGTGCTACACTGCTACACATGCTAGCCTCCATACTGAAAATGAAGAGGTTTCTAAAATTACGAAAATTCTTGAATGACAGAAAAAAAAATTGAAAGTGATGTAATGCATCTTACTGTATTTGTATTCTATTTTTGGATGAAAACTGTGCCGATTAAATGAAAATCGTACAATCTGGTATCATACAAGAAACATTTTCATGCTTGTCCTTTTGAATAATTTCAAATGATAGCTATGTGTTAATGATCATATTATCGCATGAACGCTTTGAAAGCGGTATTTTTCTGATCATGTGTATTAGGCTTAAGATGTAGAACATCATTGTTTTATTGTCTTGTTTGTCATTAGCATTTGCAGTAATATCGCCGACCCTGCTGATTAATCTCGAGTCTTCCAATTATCCATCTCTACATCTCCTCACTAGGAATGAACCCAATCCACTGAGAATTTGGTTTGTTTACAGACAGGCAGTTCCTCCTCTATTAAACCTACAAGTGGTGCACAAAATGTGTCAAGCATGCACCATGAAATTCAGGAGATACAGTAAGTGCTTTTCTCTTTATAATCATCTCTGCACGTGTTTACTGTTATTGTCTTTTTATTCATGGGCAGCTGCCAATACAACAATTATCCTGCACCGCTCCGTCCTGTAGATTGTGTATCTGTTTGGCTTTATACTGTAGCATAAGGCACTTTCCAATCATTAAAAATGTTCCAGTGTTTTGGGTACCTGTTAAAGCAGAAGGAGATCAGACTTCTGAAAAGAAATGGATTTCTTTTTCTTGTAATGCAACACCTATTTGTTACTGATGACAGTTTGTCAGTGGTAATTGCAGCATTCAGGGAAATACAAATAACATTTCCAGTGCCAAGTAACTATTTATGGATTGAAAACAGAAATTCTGAAAAGACGTATAAGTCTCTTTCTTACAACATTTAATGCTAAGGTTTTTTTTTTCTGTGAGTTTGAGATTATAAGGTTTTATATACAACAGGGATTGTGTGTAATAGTTAATGAAAAATATATATTTTCAAAATAAATTTTACTTGGGAAATAATCATTGGTGTGTAGAAATAATGCACAAATGGGTAAATAAAGAAAAACATGGCATAGTAAAACTGAACTCTGCACAAAAACCTTCATGTGCCTTATCTAGGAAGTCCATTGGAAGAAATGCATTGAGGGGCATAATAAATGTGACATCAGATGCTACCAGGGAACCCATATACAGCCACTCAAGCTAGGTGATAAAGAGGAAGTGACCATAGCTTGTGATACTGGTGCTGTATAGCACTTTTATTTATTTATTATAAGTACTTACAGTTGTGTTCAAAATAATAGTAGTCAGACATCACTAACCTGATCAATCACTGTTTTTGGTAGAAATGATATTTCTACATGGCAAATAATTTACTAGCAGGTGTAGTAGAGTAATAGAAATCCAACAGACCCAACAGTCATGGCATGCATGCTGCTGATTCTGTGTAATTGAATCACTAATTGAAAGGGGCATGTTCAAAATAATAGCAGTGTGGAGGTCATTCATTCTTTGAAAAACAGGTGGCAATTATTGCCCTTATTTAACCAATACACACCCGGCCAATAGCCAAAAGGCGACCGGAAAAATGTATTGGATTTCCGGGTTGGACGCCAAATGGCGTCCTCCTGCACATGCGCACTTTTCGCGCTTGCAGAGCCGCACAGCGGCGCGATCTGTCGCCAGCCGTGTACCTCGGACACGGTCGATGACAGATCTGAGTATCGGCCCCGTTGCCGTTACTTTGTGACCTGCTGTGACCAATCACAGCAGGTCACATGACAGTTGTATACAATGGATGGCTTCATTCATGCCATCCATTGTATACTACTGCCTAGCTGTGAATGGTCACTGCTAATCACATGCACATGTCATGTGATTAGCCGTGGCCAAATCACAGCTAAGCACAGAAAAAAAAAAAAAAACCTGAATGAATCGATGTCATTCAGGTAAAATGCTTGCTTATTGCAAAGTAATTCTTTGCTATAAGCAAATTGTGTAAAAAAAAAAAAAAAAAATACTGATCACTTCCCCAAAGTAGTACAATGTTACTATGGTAACATTGTACTACTTTGGACATAGTGAAATATGAAAAAAAATCTTAAAAAAAAGAAAAAAAAAGTAATAAAAAATTAAAAATAATAAAAAAAAATTTAAATAAAATATATATTTTTTTTCATACTGTCACCAGTCAGTGTCCCTGATCACCGCCATGCCAGTTATATGAAGACGCTGTACTGCACTGGTGACAGTATGTAAAAAAACATTTTTCAGTTTATATAGTGAATGTTTGAGTTTGTAAAGAAGAATACAAACACTGCTATTTTTTTGAACAGTCTAATATTCACTTTTCTTCAATTTGTTTAGAGGAACAACACAAATTTGATATATTTTTCTTCATGTTTTGATTTGGAATAGAATGTGTAGTGTTCCCAATGCATGTGTGTGTATGGAAATAAAAGCTATTAGAAGGATTTTGAGCTTTATTCACTTTTTTCAACACACTGCTATTATTTTGAACACAACTGTATATAGCGCCGTCAATTTACGCAGCACTTTACATATATATTGTACATTCACATCAGCCCCTAACCCTCAAGGGGCAAACAATCTAAGGTCCCTAACTCACATTCATAATACATATACTAGGGCCAATTTAGACAGGAGCTAATTGTCTTTGGAGTGTGGAAGGAAACTGGAGTACTTGGAGGAATACCACACAGGCACAGGGGAGAACACGCAAACTCCAGGCAGGTGGTGCCATGGTTGGGATTAGAACCAACAACCCTAGTACTGCCAGGCAGAAGTGCATACCATTTAGCCACTGTGCTGCCCTTAATCGTGAATGTTTTGGTGTAATTTTTAATAAAGCCCAAATACAGTTTTACTCTATGGGAGTTTTCTGTACTATTTGACACATATGGCAAATGGAGCAGTAATTATTGGATGTAAATCTGCTTAAATAATTTTTTGAAAATAATAAACATGTTATCCTTTCTTGTTCTGTACAAATGAATTGCACAGAATAGCCCCGACCCTCCTCTTCTCAGGACCCCCACCAGCGCTCCTGACCCCTCCCCCCTGTCGAATGCCCCCATAGCAAGCCGCTTACTATAGAGGCACTCGTGAGGGCTTGCTCCATTGACAGAGTACGGTTCAGCCCAACCCCCAGCTCTCCTCACTGGTTGTGATTGTCAGCAGCGGGAGCCACTGACTCCCGCTACTGTCTCTGAGCCAATGAGGAGAGAGCGAGTCGAGAGAGCCACGGCTCTCATACACTATGGTGGATTGACATCAGGCTCAGGTAAGTATGGGGGCTGAGGAAGGGGAAAACCACAGAACGTTTTTCACATTAATGCATTTTAGCTTTACAGCCACTTTAAGCATACGAAGCCATGGAACTTTGAAAATAAATGATCTAAACAGTGTGTTTTGGAGAAGGAGATGTGGAGTTACCCAAATGGGGAGCACATATAGACCTACTTAGAAATAAAGGGTCATAAAAATCTGGTGAGTGGGCTGTGTCTCAAGCACTTTTTGAAGAGAGGTGGTGTATTCTGTGAAGCGGAGTTGTTCACTGCATGGCCAGCTTTGGCATAAAGTACTTTTTTTGGTGGAAACAGGAATTCAAATAGGGAGTGTCCTGATCAAAGACATAATATTTTTAAAGAAATATTGTACTTTATTGGACTGAAATTTATTTTAATTTGTCATGTTGTCACTGGGCATTCACCTTTTATGTATTATCATGTATTTCAATGAGTTTTGCACAGTTTATCTAATTTTCTTTTTATTATAGCTTATACTATATTTTACTTTTGGCTGCAGTCTTTTATTTAAATCTAGAGTAGAATAAGACTGTAAAAGAAAACAAGAAATATTCACATTCTCAGTGGGCAGCAAGAGGAATTGTCACTATCCTGATGCCTATAAGTGTTGATGATATGCAGCACTGTCTTCCCACACTGTTTCCCCTGCAGTGTGTTGTGGTTTTCCCACCAACCCCTATGCCACTGCTGCTTCCTGCAAGATTGGGTCACTTTAAACATATTCCTCAGATGCAACAAATGGTATAAACCCTTTGTGTGTACAGATCTAGAAGAAATATAGACACAACACTAAGATTCAAGTGATACACATGGGCTGATGTATTTATACAATATTTGCTTAGCCTGCATTTCCATTTTAAGAAGCAATTCTGGAAATTCATTCTTAATCTTAAAGCTGAACCAATATTGTCTAAATACAAGAGGCATGTTTATTCTTACTTGAATCTTGGCGTGCTCTGTGTATTTCTTCCAGATCCTTTACATCAGGGGTCCTCAAACTACAGCCCGCGGGCCACATGCGGCCCACCGAGCACATTCATCCGGCCTGCCAGCAGGGGACGCTAAGTACAGCGGCGGGCAGGGGGCTGCTGTCTCTTACCTGGCTCCGGTCCCAGTCCCGCGACGATCCAGTCCAGGATGCGCAGCTCCTTCACTCCGGCCGCTCCCTCACTCGATGTCCGCGCTGCCGCTCGGCTCCGCCTCCTCACAGTGATTGGGCGCCAGTACTGTAGCTCAGGAAAGGCACACAGGCGGCCAATCACCGGAGGAGGCGGAGCCGAGCAGCCCCACGAAAATCAAGGGAGGGAGAGGCTGAAGTGAAGGAAGGAGGACAGCTGACCGCCCGGTAAGTGTGCCGTGCAGATGGTACTGCTGCAACCAGGTATGCTGGCTGCAGCAGCACCATGCTGGAACAGGGGTCAGCTAGTTAAGTGTCATTGCTGTCAGTGGGAGGAATAGTGCCCCATCATTGGTGTCACTGATAATTAATGATGGGGCATTATTCCTCCCACTGACACCAATGATGGGACACTATTCCTCCCACTGAGACCAATGATGGGGCACTATTCCTCCCCCCACTGACACCAACGATGGGGCACTATTCCTCCCCCCACTGACACCAACGATGGGGCACTATTCCTCCTCCCCCCACTGACACCAACGATGGGGCACTATTCCTCCCCCCACTGACACCAACGATGGGGCACTATTCCTCCCCCCACTGACACCAACGATGGGGCACTATTCCTCCCCCCACTGACAATCAACGATGGGGCACTATTCCTCCCCCCACTGACACCAACGATGGGGCACTATTCCTCCCCTCACTGACAACAACGATGAGGCACTATTCCTCCCCCCACTGACACCAACGATGGGGCACTATTCCTCCCCCCACTGACACCAACGATGGGGCACTATTCCTCCCCCCACTGACACCAACGATGGGGCACTATTCCTCCCCCCCACTGACACCAACGATGGGGCACTATTCCACCCCCCCCCACTGGCACCAATGACGTACTATTCCTCCCACTGACACCAATGATGGGACACTATTCCTCCCACTGACACCAATGATGGGGCACGATTCTTCCCACTGACACCAATGATGGAGCACTATTCCTCCCACTGACACCAATGATGAAGCACTATTCCTCCCACTGACACCAATGATGGGGCACAATTCTTCCCACTGACACCAATGATGGGGCACTATTCCTCACACTGATACCAATGATGGGGCACTATTTCTCCCACTGACACCAATGATGGGGCACTATTCCTCCCACTGACACCAATGATGGGGCACTATTCCTCCCACTGACACCAATGATGGGGCACTATTCTCTGTCTCTGAACAAATGCGGACACAGTACATGTAAGAAGCTTTCCTTAACCTAATATCTAATATCTTCTTATTAACAGTACAAACATAAGTATGAATGAGTTGGATCTTAATAGAATAATTGAGTTATTATATTTATATTTGTTCTAGATTGGGAAAAGTAAGTAATTAGACTTCATAGTCTGTGAATATACATATGAACATATCTTGGGTTTTCTTTAGATTCAAGCCACACATGTGGTAGCAATTGGTCTATCCATCCTCCCCCATCTATGTAAGAGATTATGTTTCACTAACTAGAGAACTGTTAGGTTTTATAAGATTTATACTGTAATATTTCTTGATTACGATATTTATATATGAGATAACTCTTATTAAGATTACTTTTAGGAGAATATATATATATATATATATATATATATATATATATATATACAGTATATATATATGTATGTGTTATACATCTAATGTATTCTAATTGATGGAATGTCAGTGAAGTTTTGTCTAGACCTTCTTAGGTTACACTCAGACTTTAGGAGAAGTAGACTGGACGTTTGTTATATATACACATCTGTTTCCAATTATCTTGGTGGGACTACAAGGAACACAAGAGAAGATCAGCCCATTTTTAGGAGATGGTGGGGGCTGGATTGCTCTTTTAAGAGCAGAACAAAGACTTTTTAAGGTTACTCTTTGCTAGAAGCCTTGATGTGACACACACACACACACAAACATATACATATATACAATCTTATTATCAAGAACTTAATTATATTTTTTGGACATTATTTAAACATTCTGTATACCAATATTTTATTTCTAATTTTATGCAACATTATTATTAAATCATCTTTTTGAGTTTATGCAAGAAGTGGAAGGACTTTCTATCTGAACATTTCTCATCAATACAAGTTAATAAAATATCGAGACAATACGATATTTTACAGTACAGGAGATGACCATAGTTTTTTTTTTAAAACTAAAGTCCGGCCCTCCAACGGTCTGAGGGACAGTGAACTGGCCCCCTGTTTAAAAAGTTTGAGGACCCCTGCTTTACATAGTTCGATGTGAAACTTTGCTTCCATGCAGGAGCTTCCTGTAATAAAGACCAGTCACTGCTTCTTTCTCTCCTTGTTCAGGGTGACTGGTCTTGTCTCCGCCCCGCTCCTGTAGTTTTCTGCAAGCAGTCTGTAGTGGGTGAGCCTTTTGGGTCCCTCCCACAGCTTTGCTCTCTGCATAGGCTATGAACAGCACAGTCATAATGTCTCTGTTACTTTTACTAGTCAATATTTGAGTTTGTAAAAGCATTTGGTGCACTCAAAGTGAAGTATATACTTTGTGAAGATGTAGAAATATATTTCAGTGTAAGTTTTTGTGCCAGCTAGGAGTTCAGCTTTAATCACGCAGACTCATACGTGTGCAGATGTTCACATACATAGCAAATGTAATCTCTTAACTTTCCTGCTGAAGTGTACACTGACGTACAAAGCATACACACCTGTTCATGTTTTCAGTGTGCATTGAAGTTCAACACAATGCTTTTTTGTATATTATATGAAGATAACTCAAATGTAATTAATGTGTATGTAAGGATTTGCAATTAACACAAACAAACAAAAAAAAAAAAACTTGTAGTATCATAAGCAAAGGTATAAAAGGCTTATATATATATATGACAAATAATGCTGTAGTGGCGAAAAAAACATTTGTTGTGTTGTTTTATGCATTAAGTCTAGGTTCACTACTATGCAGGTTGCATTTGAGTCGTTTTCTACGTTGCGTTTTGCATTTTTGCCTTTTTGCCTCGTTTTTGATGCATTTTGCTCTTTTTTACATCTTTTTTTATTTTTCTTGTTGCTAGGCAGATTTTAAACGCAAAACGCATCAAAAAAGCATTTTACGTTAAAAAAGGTCCCTGATCCTTTACAAAATACGCAGAGATGTGAAAACACAGAGATGTGAACCTGTCTCATAGGAAGTCATGTTAAATGGACTGTACTGCATTTCTTCAAAATGCAAAACTCTGCAGAAAATGCTTAGGTGTGAACCTAGGGTTAATGGTATTTATCTTTACACCATGTGCTTCCAATCAGCAGTGTTCAACCATTTGCCATGTCCCAAGCATTCATAGAGTTGTAGTGAGCCATGGAACAGCCTGCTTGTTAGCCATATTTGATTTTGTCTGCACATCTGACAGGGTAAAGGGGCAAAGAGGATACATAAGACATCAGCTAAGAGAAATTTGGTGGAGTATGGAGATTGATTCACACTGAGTTTTATTATTAAAATGTGAGTGCAATTTGGTTGTTTTAACCTTTGAATAAATGTTTTAAATGACATCACACTATTAGGAGTTTTATTTATTTATTTTTTCTTGATCTGGAGAATATTAGTGTCAAGGTCCTACCTTTTCCCTGAGGTTATGTTACTCCATGTGCTGGCGTCCATCTTGGATTCTGCTGTGCATGATGGGAATCCTTTTTATGCCTTCAGGTCTCTGAGGTCCACCCCCCAGAGGGGCGTGGCTGATGACATATAAGCCTGTGGCCCGCACATGCTCTTTGCACTTGTGTCTTGTGTCTTTGTGTTACTATTACTCTGTTCTGACTCTCGTGACTCTCCTGGTATCTGATTCGGCTTGTGACTTGACTATTCTTTGTGTTCTCCTTTGATCTGACCCTCTGTTGCTGAACCCGGCTTGTGACCTGTGATTCTCGTCTGCTGTCCTGTACGTTTTGTCCTGTTGTTGTTGACCCCGGCTTGTCTGACTACTCTTTTGTTTCTTCCACCAGCTACATGCCATTGGCGGCGGCCATTACCGCAGCTGAGGTGTCTCGGGGGCCGCGACCTGGTTCATGGCTGTGTCAAGTCCATCCCCACCATCAGGGGCCCTGGTGAAGGGCAGCCTGGGACTTAGACTCCGCGCCCTGATGGACTTCGGTCTGTGGGTGGTGGTTGTCGTCAGCCAGTGCGTTACATTGTTAGGCCTGCCTGTCCGTTCCTCGGCTCCTGCCCTGACAATTAGCCTTTGAAGAGAGGTTCGGAAAGGACAAGGCATGAGGCACCAGAGAATAATCATTGAGACATGATTATGCTCTGGTGAGATATTCTGGTACACACTGGGTGGAAAGCAATTGTTGGGGGGTGGGGGGTTGGTCTTTGAGAGCAGAGGATATACTGTTTCTGGAATTGTGTTTTCACAAAAGTGAATTATAAAGAAAAAAGTTATGATTACTGGTTTTCCTTTTGTTCATTTTAATTTCCTGAAGATTCTTGACATTTTTTTTTAAAGATTGGACGTTATTCAGTAATCACTTTTATGCTACAAAGTTACACTATTTGTGATTTGTGTGTGATTTATAGTATTTTTTTAAAGGCGTTTTGTGCACTTTTTCAGTAAGCTGCATTTAGCTGTTTATAAGGGTGATAGGACAAAATGATATACTTATAAGGTTTTAGTACTGTGTTAGTCCTATATTATATGTGTTTTTATGTTTGGAACAATCAAGTGGAAGTGAGGAATGTTATACATGCACACCTCCAGCGACCTAGTGTCGTCTGCTGTCATACCTTCCACCTCACTACCCATCTCTCATCCTGGCAGTTCTCCATGTACGACTTCAAACAACAAGTTACCTCCCCTAGCCTTCACATTTAGGCCTTACCTGTATGTACACTGCTGCTCCTAAATATGAGTTTAGGAGCTTTTGGCATTTTTTTGCCAAAACCCCTGAACTCAACTCAATTAAAGCCTATGTGTCCATGTACACTTATGCTTTTATGAGAGTTTAGGAGCAGCAGAGTTTAGGGCAATTAAATGTTCCTCTTCTGAACACAGAAGAATCATGTCCAGGTGAGGAACGTTTTGGCAAAAAAAAAAAACGCTAAAAAAAGAGGGTAAAAGGGAAAATGTGTCTAAATGCTAGCCTCGTTTAGCGCTTGAGCATTTATCCATGTCAATGGAATATACTTTGGGCAATCAAATCAAGAAATGTCCAAGCACTAAACGCGGTACCATGTTTACATGTGTGTTTTTGCAGCGTTTACCATTTTTCTGCTGCCAGGAGAGCTTAAAGTCTAGGGGAGTTCTAGTGTACATGAGGCCTTAGTCATTACAAGGCTCCTGCGTCTTTCCTCAAATTAATAGATGTGACCATTCCCAAATCCCTTTTTAGTCTCCCTGCCTTCATCATAAATAATAAAGGTCTTTATTACTTATTGCACATAGACACCTAGATTTTATATGCCTTTATGCACGAGTCCAAGATACAGTATGTTCTCTAAGTATAGTTTTTCTCAGGTTATATTATAGGGACACAATGCACTTTGATTAAGTTGTAAGGAGTCAGAACCTATTATTGGAAGGGTGTGATCAATGTTTTTCAATCAATTCTACCTTACTGCCTAATATTGAGCTGAAATTAGTTCTTTTGTCCCTAGGTTAATTTATTTTCCTTGGTTCATTTAAATAGGTGCTGCACTGTCCAGCTCTTAGAGGTGAAGGATGTCACCCATTAGACGATGATTCACAACATATGTTTTTATTTGCTACCAAAACCTTGAAACCGTTAACCAAAGACAGGATATAACAATTAAAAATAATATTATCTAGTCTTATCTATAGGACATTGTATCAAGTGACATCCAGAAAAGCTCTGAATTATATTTTTTTATGAAATGTCCAATTTCAAGTACTCTGCACAAGTAAAAAAAATATATATATATTAGCCCTATGAATATCTAAAGTAATTTTTAAATGTTCCTATTTTTAGGGTTAAATGTTAAAATGGTTCTAAAGGCAGACTTTTTTTTTTTTTACCTCATTACATTCTATGCATTAAGGTAAACAAAACCTTCTGGGTGCAGTC